CCTTTGCATGTTTAGAATCCTTGGTTATTTTTGAGGCGATCCAGCAAGGTCAATTTGAAGCGCCGAGTTCAATGGGAGGAGGAAGGGGATCAAGCTGACTTGGACGAGTTTGAAATGCCCACGCGTCTGGGTGGTCCACCGCAGTCGGGACCCAAACCGGTCCGCACAGCGGATGCCACTGATTGCCCTGGCAGTGCCCCATTGGGGAAAGAGCCAAAAGGTCCCAGGTTGAGCCCACCCAAGACAGAGGTACCATCAGGTTGGGCTCTTAGGTGTTGATATCTGTCTTGATTGGGCTTTGTTTCAATCCATGCGTGTCTGCGTGCCTGTTTTCCTTCGCCAGTTCTGTGGTTCTGTTTGCAGGCGAGGTCTTCAGCTTGGACTCCGAAGTCAACAGCGAGGACGAGAGGCGCGAAACTGCTGCAGCCCATGCCAGTCAAGTCCGCAAAAAGGCTGGCTTGCCTGAGCTTGAGCTGGATGCATTGCCATCCACCATTGCATCCAAGATGTTGAAGCTTGCTGCTGTTTTCCACGGGAGTGGTCCATTTATGATTCGGAGCACAACCCTATGCTAATTGATGCTTCAAACAATCAAACATGGTGTTTGTTCAGTGACCCTGTTGCTGGCTGCATCTGGTTTCTTTGTTCAATGTATTCTATGGCTTAGGATTTGCCTTGACAAACGGGCCAAAGGACTTCAAGCCTCTTTGGATGTATGCACCAATGCGCCGAAACTGTCTGACCTGCAGACCAGGTCAGTATGATGTAAATTTGATTTTGCATAGCACCTTCCTCTAGCAACTCAGAGGTGGTTCAACCGGCTGAGCTGTGTGCCAGGATCCGTGACAAGACGGTGGAGTTGAAACATCAGCTCACATCCATCTGCAAAGAAATTGAAACGATCTACACGAATGGGATTGTGGAGGGTTTTTCCAAGGAGTCGTTGCCCAAGATGTCATTGCAGCAACACATCCCACTAATCTCTTAGACCCACTTTGTCATTTCAGGTCAGAGGACAATCTGCGATCCCAGTATCACGATGCCAAACTCCGGAACAGACCTTAATTTTGTGTTTGGTTGTTGTTCTTGTTGTGTACATTTTGGGTGACAAATTCTAAGGGCGGTGGAGGCCTTGAACCTTGAGTCAAGAACAAAGCTGGGACCTTGGTGGTGAGATTGTCCATAGCACGAATGGAACTAAACCTTTGATCTACAGAGGGATTGAACACTCCTTCAGGTCATCTTTGCCGAAGGCAAGCCCAAAGGAGGATTCGTCTAAACTGAAGGGAACGAAGCGGCAAAGCCAGCGGGCCAAAAACGCTGCGGCCAAGGCCGCATCGGCCAAGGCTTCATCTACTTCCAATGGAGCTGCCGTTCCAAAGGGAGCCCCAAAGTCTTCCGCTGCCCCAAAGGGGAAAGCAGCCGCCAAAAACAAAAACAAGGCAAACGCCTAGAGATTTCAATTTTGCCCAGATGCACTTGGCAAAGTTAGTTGCCAATTCATCCAAATGCTTTTGTAGGAGCATATGCAATTCGATATTCGTCAGATCCCAACTCTACTGCGGACGAACAGCGGGGAAAAATTAGGAGACCGTGCGACAATGTTTCTTAGCAACGACAAGTGCTTTTGTATTGACAGTTTGCCATTTGTTGCTTGGTGGTTGGACCTCTCGGATACCCCCAAGATGGTCTACTGGGGCTCCGACCAAACCACCAAAGCCCCCAAGATGGTCCACTGGGGCTCCTACCAAACCACCAAAACCCAGGAAGAAGATATCCACTGGTTAAGTTTCAGATGTGCATTCATGGCAGGTCCTGCATGTTTCAATCATGCCAGGTGATGGTCAGCAAAATGACCAAAAGAAAAGGTCTCTAGAAGAAGCGTATGCAGAGGCAGTTGCTGACGGAGTGGGAGGCTTACATTTTTAGCTGCAACTTTGCTCTGTTCATTTTCTCGCAGGTATACAGTGGATGTGACTGGATGTGATACAATTATTATGTCATGTTATGGTTTTGTCATGCTTTGCTTAGAGGCCTTGTAGCTTGGAAAGGTTTAGGTTTCTGCTTCGCCCAGGTCCCAGCAGTCACCTGCAGGCGGATGCATGGTGCAGCACTAGATGGTGGACAAAAGAGTGAAAAATCTCAGCTCCACAATGCTGCACGAGATGCCATGCGGATGGTTCGTCGAAAGTGGATCGGGTGGAATGTTCCATTGGACGTGGTTGATGTGTTTTTCGATGATGGCTCCTCCATTCAAGTCACTTATTTGGATCCTGCAAAGCTCCTTACATACCTCATGGATAAGCACCCTTCTACATTGACTGGGTGCTTTGACCTTGACCATGGCAAGGCCTGTTTCAAGGCATTTTGGGATAGCTACCGAACAGTCCACTCAACTCATGAACTGTTCGCCCAGTTTGCAAATGATCTTCACCACACTATCCCTGTTGCCATACACGGCGATGAAGGCCGTGGCAAGCGCAGATCGAATACAACAATCATTACAATGGAAGCGATTTTGGGGCTGAAGGGGCATACATCTTTGTGCAACAAATGCACGCCATCTTGTGGAGAACCTGTTTGCTTGTCTGGGGCGGAAGAGGCACATGAGCTGGCCAAAACGCTCAGATCCAACTTGAAGGGACCTTCATTTGTTCAACATTTCCCTTTCTGTGTTGTTCCAGGTGTGCTGGGAGACAAAGTAAAAGTCATTACAGAGAAGCTGTTGTCAATTTTTTCTGAGAAGTTGCTCGGCTTGTTCAGCGCAGGCTTTGAAGCCAGGTCGGAGCATTGGAGGGTTGCATGCGTTGCTGCCAAAGGCGACTTGAAGTGGCATGCCAAAGTAGGTCGCTTGGTCCGAGGATATGAAGGCCGTGGCCGTGTGCGGGATCTTCCTTCGTGTCACCTGTGTAAAGCAGGGGTTGCAAACCTTCCAGCTGAAGATTACACAGCAAACCCTATTTGGGAACACACCCTTTACTCAGAACGACCTTGGCGTCCTGAAGAACCTCCCTTGCTGGCTGCGATCCCATTTGATGCATCCATGCCAGAATATTTTCTGAAGTGTGACCAGTTTCACAACCTGAAACTGGGCATCCACAGGCATTTTGTTGCGAGTTGTATCTTCCAGTTCTTGCGGTATGGCTTTTTTGGCAGTCGTGGCAAGGTAGATGACAAATTGACAACGGCTTACGGCCATTTCAAGGTTTACTTGCAAGTTGTGCACAAATTTGCTTCCTTGAGGAGCTTCTCGCCAAGTTTGTTTTCCTACAAGAGCTCAACGAGCTACCCCTGGTGCAACACGAAGGCTTCAGACACTTCATTGATCATGGACTGGATAGCTACAATTGCAGTAGGTTTCTTGAACTCAAAGAATTTGAGTGAGGACCAAAGATTTGTGTTGGACACCATTTTGTCCACAACCCGCGTCGGCATAGCTTGGTTCGATATAGTCTACAAGCATGGTCTGTTCCTGGCGCCAGATTGTGCATTGAGGCTTTACGAGGTTGGGCATGCTTTTGTGGTTGGGTATTCCACTCTAGCGCACAAGGCCATGGCAAACAGACTCTGTCTGTTTGCCTTAATTCCAAAGCTGCATTTTCAGTGTCACACACTCGTCGAGCTGCGTTTGCAGATTGAGTCTGGCAGTGGGATTTCCTTGAGTCCGGTATGTTTCGACTGCTGCATGAATGAAGATGTTGTGGGCCGACTTAGTCGGCTTTCTCGGAGATCGGACACACGTGTGACTTTTGAACGAGTGCTTAGCTGGTGGCTAGTGAAAGCAGGCCTCTTGTTCAAGAGGCATTACGGGAGTTTAGAACGAAAGGGTCAGGGGCAAGGGTGATTGGGATAAGAGAGTCTAGGTTGTCATTCTGGACATTGTCTATGGTTCTTCACTGTGCTTTACTTGATTTTGGAGCAATGTTTGCCTTTGCCCTTGGTCCAGTTTCCTGTCTACAGGATTTGCCAACCTATGCAGAGTTAAAAGCACTGTGAACGACTATGTGCAGAATGGGAATCCACCAAACAAACGAAACGACGAAAATAAACTCAAACGACGTAAATTCTGGAAAACGACGTAAATTTACTGAGTTTCACGAAACGACGTAAAAAGGTAACACCAGGAGTTCCTAGGTATAAGTTATATCTTCCACAGCCCAATCGGGCTCCAGTCGTACCGCAACGCCGCGGTATGAGCTGGACCGAGCTGGACCCGTCACCCCAGTCCAAACGAGTTTGTGCGACGGTCCGGTCGGGCAAAGGTTTTCCAGGTTGTCAAGCCCTTGGGATCGAAGTATCTGGGGCTTGTCGGAGTAGTGGAGACATGAGTCTCCCAACTCCAAGCTGTTGGGATCCAGCCGTACCCTCTTAGGTTCGGTGCGACGGGACCCGACATGACCCTGGCACCGGCAAATAACAGTGTCGAACACATCACCGTACCTGAGAAGGTACGACTGGATCTAGGGAAGGGTGGGAGAGGTGCTGGCAGGCTTTTGGATGGCCTCGGAATTGGTTGAAACGGTGTGGTTCTCTTGTTTCTATAGGGTGAAAGTTTGGGACATGTGGGGCAGAAGCAGAGGTGTCAAGAACGACCAATGAAGTTCTGGAATCTCATGGCTCTTCCGGGTGCAATGGTGGTGCCGATTCTATAATCCCTAGGGCTCCTGGCCCACCTCCGTTTCGAAGATGGTTGGGGTGGGTGCCAGGAGGGTCTAACCACCGGTCACCTGAGGACATGGGACAGGAGCCCTAGGGAATATAATAGATACTAGGACCCACAAGGGGTGGTTCATGGACACCCCTTAACCTCTAAGGGGCTATCAATATAGACACCCCTGGCCCGGGTGTCTTGGTATTTGATGTTACACAAATGAACTGTCTTCGACCATTTGCCTGGGTCCCTCTGGACACAAACACGCCCATCTCCAGATTCCTCCTCAACCAAGCACCCTGGCTTTGGTGTGAAGACCCAATTCCAAACCCCTTTTCGGCCGCGGGGCAAGATGAAGGCACCGAAGGGGCTCAGCAAGGTGTTAATGCCAATGCTCCAAACTTCCAATTCCGGCCGCTCTTCTCCTGAAAAGGCGCTGAATTAGCGCTGAATCAGCTCTGATAGGGTCCCCGCCTGGTGGGTTGTTGACATCCACGTAGCTCCAATGCTTTTGCGTAGGTCATGGAGGGTGTGCAAATAAGATTAATACAATAACATGCATTTAGGATTTGAATAGGGGGCTTGCAACTCCCAACCAATGGCTTTTAAAGCCTTCCATGGGTCAATCTGGGACACCCCGTATATAAACTACAATCCGTATAAAACATGTGTGCTTTTGTGGGGTGCCAATCGGGGTATGCATGCTCACTTTTGGGCCATGGTGGAACATTTCTGCGCAGTGCACCAAAACAAACGAACACCTGTTTTTTTGGACCCTGAATCGAACACATTTCTGGGAAACGTGCATAAAAAAAAAAGTGGTACACATTTTAGTGTACCAAATGGTTCTCCAGGAATGTTTAATGTCTATCCACTAATATATGTATAATATATATAAACTAAATATACACATGAAGAACGGGAAGGACATGGAAGCACTTGTAATTGAAATCTCATGAGAGAGCCCCACAGAAGATTAATCAGCTGGCACATATCCCCACTCCTAAAACTCTGCCAAATCACCCATGGCCAAGTGCCAATTGGTGGCGTTGCCTGAAAACGGCAAGTCGATTTCACCCTTGACATATCTTGACATGCTAGCTGGTGTGTATAAATTGACCTGTTCTTTCCAAGTGTTTGACATCCATCCTCCAACAGAAATACATCCTCTTTCGCATCACCCTGCGCTTCCCCCCCGCTTTTTCTCACGTGCAAACGGCCCCAGTTCGGTTCGCCGTCCTAGATCGGTGCCGAAGGTGTCGTAGATCTTCCGGCGCTCGCTATCTTGTAGGACCCTCAGGTGGGTCCCAAACGTCTGAGACCGTTTTCGTTGGGAAGAGACCATCAGGTTCGGGCGCAGGTGGGGAAATAAAGGGACACTGAGCAACTAACAGGCGGTTTGAGTGATTTTTGTTGAATCAAAGTACTTATCCTACTGTGAAGGGTGCCTAACTTATTCATTCCGATCAAACCTCAAGTAAAGTCAAAGATTACACACTAAGAAAGTAGGTGACCAAAACTGTATAAACATCATGAAAAATGTGGGATTTGTGTCCTCCTTGGTAAACGTATGTGAACTTCTTGCCCAAAAGTGTGCCGGATCAAACTGGATGGCACACAGTGTGCGTTTGTTATCCGTTTTCTTTTCTGGAATGCACCTCAAGAAACGTCACAGAAGGGTGCTTCGACATATGTAATTTGACCATCGGATACCGCCATGTTCAGCGCCCAACTTTTCAGCCACTGCCCCGTTGCAGCGCCTCATCACCAGGCATGACCGCATGACCCCCGGATCAGGACCGAATGGAGTCTCCCTATGCCTTGTCTCCCTATGCTCCAGAACAAGAACGGGCATCCAGCTGGGTTGTTTTATGGGTGGACCACGGCGCTTCGAGCTGTTCCTTCAAACGAAAGACACGCTTCGGACACGCTTCGCTCCAAAGGCCAGGTCGATTGAGACCGAACTTGAGATCTCAGAAGCCCTGGGGGAGGTCACTTAGTTCCTGAAGAGGTCACTTAGACACTCCAGTTGGAGGTCACAAACGGAAGGTCCTCTTCCAGAAAAATAGATCATGGAGTGGATCATGGGCATTCCCCACCCTCCATGCGCACCATCATGGAGCGCATGGAGTCTCCAGCACTTGAGAAATCGAGGTCCAGCACTCGGATACCAATTCGACCCCTTGGAGGGCCCTATAAGTCCATGGTAACTACCCTAAGAAGTCCGGGGGCCTTGTGTCGCAACACCCGCGAAGAGGTCGGGTCCGACCGGACCGAGGTCGGGGGTCGACCTCGGACGTCTGAGGGTATAGTAGCAATGCTCCAGAACTCGATGGTTCAAATTCCCAAAGACCATGTTTTGACCACGCCCTTGACTCGATGAACCACATTGAACCGGGGGAGTCTTATAAGCCAAGAGTCTTCGGGGGGGTTGGTACCTATATCACCATGAACATGGACAAACTATGATAAACTGACTGATCTTTTTGGACTCTCGTCCGATCTGTTTTGGAATCACCCGACATCGCTCGAAACGTCACCAAAACACGGCACGAACATCCCGGCCCATCTCAATTCAAGGTCTTCAGTTTCACCCTGACCTCATCTGGCCCCTGACCTTCTGGTGGATCCAGCCGTATTTCGGTGGTCTTGCCCTCATCTGACCCCTCTTGCATCCCCATTTCCGGGTGGATTCCAGCTCACCCACGCCGCACACTGGAGCTCGGCACCCCGCGTGGCTCCCAGCTCCCGGGCGCTCCGCCGGGCGGCTCGCGGGCGCTTTTGATCTCGTTAAACTTCTTCGTGGCGTCGTCACCACCGCCCACCTTGTCAGGATGGTACTGCAGCCTCAGGCGGTGAGGTCGGGTGTGCATGGGTTTCCAATAGGATGAAAGGATGGGAGACCTCTGTTCGGCGTTCCGACCACCCCCTGGAAGAAGGGACATAGACCCTCTAAATAGATACCAGAGTTCTAAGCCTGGTATAGTTCTTGGAGGGTCAGCACTTTTTCCTTCATGATCAAATCCGTCCCTGTTGGCACCAGAAGAGATGCCACATCGCCACCCAGGATCCGCGTGGAGTCGGAAGCAGGAAGCGCCGTGTGTCCATGGAGTCCCGGTCAGTCCGGGGTCCCTGAGGAATTGACCGGTCCAGATCAGATCGACAGCACGACAGCGTGAACGAGGATTTAGCGGGTAGGGTAGTATAGGATCCAATGCAAAGAACACAGACCGTGGTGCAAGAACAGGATTCTACAAGACAGTGATTGTTATTGTCTTGGTTTGTGAGGTGACTGGAATTGGCTCCTGGTTGCATTATGAAGGCTCTCCTGGGTGAGTTCGAGGCTTTCATGGTTTAAATGTGACAGAATCCATGACTGAATCATACCCCAGACACTCCATGGGACTGGCATATTTGCATACATTGGAGTGGTTTCAGGGGTCAATGGGGCGGCATATATTCCATGCATGGAGCGTCTGGGTACTGAATCCATGACTTCTTGGACATATACATTCTGATTCACGGCATGGGACGTGGATGTCACCCCCTGTTTTAACGGAACATTGTGTTCAGTACATGTTCCACTTCCATGTGATGAGTTCGCCAGAGAGTGTCAGGCTTGCGCCGGACTTCCATCCCGGAAGCATGCCTGCCAATATGTTTAGGACAGGACAGAGTCAGGGAGGTGGTCGGAGAGTTTAGAGGAAGACATCCGCCGACCTGTGCTCCAGTAGCAACCAACTGACTGTGAATCCGTCCGTGGCCGAGCAGCGACATCTTATGATACCTCGGTCGGGCGGCGCACGTCCCGGGCACGTTCGCCAGAGTCAGTGGTGGCGCACGTGCGTGAGCCCTGGATCAGAACAGGTCGACCCTGTGTAAGAACGCATAGATGGGCGCGGACACACCAGTCAGCCCTACCTACGTCGTCACAGGCCTGGCGTTTTTCACCTGGTCCGACTGACTTCATGGAGTACTGGTTTTGCATTTTCCCGGACCCAGTCGTGCATGAGGTCCGTAAGACCTGTAGGGAAAGGATCCACACTGAAGATGGTGGCCTCACAAGATTGAGCTATGCAAAGAGGAACAAACATCGGCGGCTGGCTTGAATGATCAGCCCGGAAAACCTAGCCATGAAGAATGCAAGCACACACCTGGTCCAGAATTCTCCTTGAGAACACGCTTCAGGTGCACTTAACTTTCATAAATTCAGTGTCACGAGCGGCCGCCAAAGGAGGGACAATGACTCCCCTTGTTGTAGGGCAACACCAGCTCACACAGAAATACTGTAATATCTCTACAAGACCTCCAGAATCCAGCTGGGTCACGCGATGGAGAACGCCCCTTTGGTTGATGAACGCCCCTCTGACTGGTGCGACTCGCGAGGAATGATGGAATGGATCCTGTTCAGTATCCTATGGCAAGGGGTCTTTACCTTATTCATCCTTGCCTCAATGCGCCTTCCCAGGCCTAGCTAGTCAGGCCCATGCCAGTGTTCTTCAAGTGCCTTCTCAAGCAAACATATATAATAAATGTATAGGTGACAAATCCGGAGGTTAGGGCGACTTACCAGCTCCAACTCTTCTCCAGTTTATGAACTGGTCTTCTCGGCCCCAGCACACATCCTCGTGAACACGAGCCACGACGAAAGCAGGTCCATCCACATGGTCCACTTTGTCTACCAAGTGACGCCAAGCAGGTCCATCCACATGGTCCACTTTGTCTACCAAGTGACGCCAAGCAGGTCCATCCACATGGTCCACTTTGTCTACCAAGTGACGCCTTCTTAACATCTTCTTCTTTACAATCCAGCTGAAGCCCCAGCACATCATAGGCATCAATCATGGCTCACACCCGCTCGACCGCTCCGTGCAGAGCGGTCTCGAGCCCGGGCTACGGAGCCACAAGTCCGGCCGGACGAAAGCCACGGCCAAGGCACTGAAGTCAAATTGATCCAAATCGATCAGAGCATCTAAAAATGATCCAATTCTTATATTAAATCTTCAATCTTCATCCCCTCAACTAGGAACTAGTACTTTTTCATTGGTGGAACGAACAAAAAGAAAACAAACAACTGTATACCCATGCAACACCTCTTCCAAAGTCATGATTCACAACGGCCAAGAGAAAAGTCTTGATAGACATGGATTTGGGGTTTACATGCACCCTTCCTCTAGCAATCATGGAAACCGCTGAGCAAACCCCCTCTGCAAGTCAACATGGTCTGCAAATCAAAAAGGATGTCATCAAGTCCCTAGTTACGGCTCCAGTTGTACCTCCTCTCTGAGGTTTGACTGGACCCGTAAATCAGCCCCAAACACCTTATCACTTAAACGCTACTAGTAGCTCCTGGCCTTACTAATAACAAGCTACCAGTCACAAAGGGCATCGCTACGAACGGAGCAAAAGAATACTTAAGATATCTTAAGATATATCACTGGAGCCCTAGGGCCCCCAGTTTCCGCCCCACCTACGCGGCTCTCCGATCCGTCCTACGCGGCTGCTCTCCGTGCCGCACGAGTTCTGGCCGCCCCGGAACCTGGCCGCGACGGTTCGGCGGCCTTCCCCGAGTCACATGGACCCCAGGTCGAAGGGCATCCTGCCCACCAGTTCACCCCTGCAAACCCATTGGTTTTCAGGTTTTTATGTGGGTTCTCTTGGGGTGTATGCATCTCTGAAGACATCTGAAGACGCCTGAAGAAGACCATGCACTTGGCCGACTTAGCCTTTCCGGGGCCTTTCCCGCCTATAGCGTTCACATGATCTCCTGAATATATGTATGTATGTGCGAAGCGCACTGGAAGCTTTTCCACCGCAAAACGAAAGGTAAAAACATGCTAGTGAAACTATGTCGAAATCTGCTTGCTTTGCTTCTTCTTGATTTGTGTGTGTCATCCGCATTGCAAGCGGGCTGAGAGTTCCTCGGGGCCATGATGCATCATGTGCTTGTCGGGGCCGCTTTCCTCTGGGCCGGCTGTGGCGATGAAAACTGCTTTGATCAACCTGCATGCAAGGACATCTTCACACTGGTATTTTCTTTCTTTGATCAAAGCTCATCTTCAGCTGATTCATCAGCTTGCTCGGCCTTCACTTCAGCCGCTAGCTTCTGCCTTCGAAGCTTTTGCCTCTCTTCTTTCTGGCTATCTTCAGCTTTCCCTTTCTTTCTATTCTGGCGTTCTGTTCTTTTCTTCTCTTTGAGCTGTCGGTTGAGCTCGTTCTGAACTAGCGAAAGCTTTCCTGTTCTAAGGAACTCACGGAGCATAGTTTTGTCTGCTCCCATCTTCGTGAGGACATCGGCAATGTTCTGCATGCCATCAATCCACCTCACATGTGCTCCATCCTGTCGGACGGTTTCTCGAAGAAGAGCTCCTTCTATGGCCATCCTCTTATCTGAAGAGGTGCTGGTGCTGTCTTTCTCCAAGTAGTCGTAGACTGATTTGGCGTCGGTGACATAGACGCGCTGTCTTCTCTTGATGATCTCGGGCCAATTCTTCAGGTCGAGTTCTCCAGTCAAAGCCTCTTCTAAAAGAACGATCATCCAATCACCAGCTTCTACTGCTTCAGCCAAGTGGCTGGCCTCGGCGGCCAAAGTGCTTCTGCAAACACGCTTCGTGGTGCCGGAGTGAAAACTCAAAACATTGCAGCGAACTTCACCCCCATGTAGAATGTCGGGGTTTGCTATCAGGATGAAAAATCCTCCAACAGAGCGGAACTTCTTATCTCCAGCTTCATTGTTGTTGGCGTGGCCGCTATCCGACAACATGACCATCACACCTTCAGCCAGGTTGACGTCGGACCAGTATCTCATCCGAAAGTCAGCTGCGCGTTTTGCTGCACCTAGGTACCCCTTCAACTTCAGGAGGTCTGCTATGCAAGGGTCAGCCTTGCACCTTTGGGCACAGCCGTTTTCAAACGCTAGGTCGCACCGTAACTGGCGCGAAAGCCATCCAAGCTCTCCAGCTGAACTGTTCAGCACTTCCTTCTCCTCCTCCGTCAGGCTGGACTCAAGCTGCTGCCGTCTTTCCTTCTTGAGGTTGACAGGCTTGAGAGACAATGCATAGTTCTTCATCATCACATCGATGTGTCCCTCAGGGGTCTGTCGAATCTCGCGACCTCTGAAAATGAAGTCGTGGACGTGGTTGGTTGCAAACTCAAGGGCAGCTGAGGATTTGGCAAAGGCTCGGTTGAGCCAATCCTCTTGAACTCCTCCTTCGAGGTCATCAACATGTGTCACAAGCACACCTCGAAGTCGTCCGCCTTCTCTCAGGTAGAAAAGTGCAGGTTCCAGCTGGGACTCTTGCCATCCATCAGCTAAGAGGTGCTCACGTAGTGCCAGCCAGAAAAGTCGGGCCGACTCTGCAAAACCGTAAATGGCTTTATGAGCCTCCAGCAATTGACCAGGTCGTACTCCAGGGAGACCTCCTCTTGGAGGATCAAGATAGACCTCGCGTCCGAGGCGCTTGCCACTGAAGTAGGCATTCTTGATGTCTTTTGCCAGGAGCACAAAATGAAAATGAGCGACCAGGGCCAAACAAATGGATTCTGCAGCTGCTGACGCCGTTGGGGCGTCCCTCCTATAGGCACCAAGCATCTTGTCCTTGAATCCTTGCACGACCAGTCGGCTTTTCGCCTGAAATTCTTTTCCAACAATGCCCTCTGACTTGTTAGTTCGCACCCATCGTGTCGGCACGATCAAGTCGGGGCTGTCTCTGCGGATCTTTTGTGATCTCTCCAAATCAACAACTGTGCAGGCTTCCTTCTCGAGCCAGGCTTTCCATTCGCGGGCATCCGAACCGTCAGGTCCAGTAAACAAAAGCTGCTTGTCCTTGGGAATCTCATTCAGCTTCAGCTCTTTCCTGCCCTTCTTCTTGACAGGTGTCGTGGTTTGTCCGCTTTGGAAGGCATACTCGGCAAGCACTGCATACTTGTCGTCAAAAAGGTTGCGATGCACTGCAAACATGAAATCACTCTGCGAAACACGGCGCTCCAAATAAAACTCTTCATGCAAAAAATACTGTTGGCGTGCTTCTGTGTTCAAAAAGTGCTGGGACTCCATGACCATGTATGCTCGCAGGGGCTCTCCAACAAAAGTAGCGCTCTCAGGCGCCTTTTCTTCTGCAGTCAAACGAAGCCGCTTGGCTTCTCGTTCAGCAGCCTCTGCATCGAACTCTACCACCGGGCTCAACTGCCGTGTCGGGCGTGTGTGGTAGTCGTCAAGGTCAGGGTCGAAATCTGAGCCTGCTGGAATTGCTCTTGCTTCTGCTTCCATGGGCTTGGAGGTGATGCCCATATCTTTCAGCTTCTGTTCTCTCTGCTTTCTTCTTTCCTCAGCCTTGCGATTGAAGAAATCGCTGCTTTTGATCGCTCTTTTGGCGTCTCTTTCTGACTCATATTTCATGCGAGCCATGGAAGTTGAGCTCGCACTCAAGTCTTCTGAACTCGGTTCTTGAGCAGGTGGTTCATCTTGAAGCGGCACATCTTCACGAGGTGCCTCCATCGGGTCATCAGGAATCGAAGGTGTTGACTCCAAATCAAGCTCTTGCTCACCTTCGGGTAGGTCAGGAAGCTCTGGTAGCTCTGGTGCAGAAAGCTTTGGAAGGTTCGAAAAGTCAGGCGGTGCTGCTTTCCTCAAATCCAGAAAACCTGTTCCTCCAGCGGCAGGGACAGCATCAATGAGGTCGGTCTCGTGGCTCACATTGATCCACTGTTGAATCTCTTCCTCATATGCTCTGCTCAAATGCTCAGGAGAAACTGCTACCAAAATACCTCGGTGTGCTAGCCAAACTGTGCTGCTGCCTTCATGACCAATCACTCTAGCGACTCCTCTCCAGAAACAGGGGCTGCTCCGCTTGTCGGCTGAATCCCAATAGAAAACATAGGTGCCAACAGGGAAAGGGCCTCGTGATGGCCGTGCTTTGCGAAGTTCAGCTCGGCGAAGTGCCGAATCATTGGCAGCTCTGGCAAAACTCTCACGTGCTTGCATCCTGATAACATTCTGTCTGTAAAAACGTGTACCAGGAGTTTCTGCTAAAGATTGTGCACTGAGCCGTCCAATCTCTGAATCATCGCTCAAGGCTGCAGGAAGTCTGACATCTCGGCCAATCACCCATTGAGATGGTGAGAAGCCGTGCTTGCGGGCCATCGAGTTCTTCGCTGCTGTAGTAGCTGCTGTAGCCATCAAAACTTCTTCTCTGCCTGCAATCTGTTGCGCCCAAACAAGTCGCTTGAACGTGGTTTTCCAGAGTCCTCCATGTCGCTCCACTTGCCCAATCTGCCATGGACTAGCTTTAGCAGCTGTGGAAAAATGACATCCGTGGTTTGAGAACTCCTCCGAAAGCTCTGCTAAAAAGTACTTGGCTCGGTCGCAAACAATGCCACGCTCAGGAAAACCTGCCCAGCTGCACCAATGTGAGTTGAAAGCTTCAAGCAAACATGCTCCAGTTGGATTCTGGTTGGTGTCGGGCAGCAAGGCACAAACCTGAAAGGTGGTTCCTTGGCAAAGGATGTTCAGCCAAGACCATTGGTGTCCTTGAGCATCACTTTCAGAAAACACATCCAAACCAATTTGAACGTTGAAATCATGCACTGCAGGAACTTTGGAAGGTCGTGGTTCTTTGGGATGTTCATGCATTCTGGGGCAATCTTCACAACGAAAAAGGCGTGTGGCCTTGACAGCTGTATCTGAGGCTTTGGACATCCTCAAACATCGCAGCAGTCTGCACATCAGCGTGTCCCAGATTCACATGAATGCGGCGTACCGCCAGCTTCAGCTCACGTGGTAGAGCTTGCCATTTTCGAAGTCGTTCCTCCTCCTTGGCTTGGAAGCGGTCATCCACCTCCATCTG